AGGTTAATTCTTAGGTCCTACCACCACTTTGGAATCTCCAAGCTGTCTGTGCCATCAGGATCGCTCAGGATCGCTGCCAGACTGCAGGTCCTTATGTCTCCTTTTCTGGTATTTTCATGCAAATTCTTCTGCTAGTTGGTGTTTCGTCCATTTCTATATCCTTCCTTTCATGGCTCACGGTCCAGGATTGTCTTCTGTGTCTGTGTTAATTGGTTTCCCTTTTCTTTGTTGAAGAGGGTCTGTGCAGACTTTCTGCCTATTCCGCCATCTTGGAATCTCTGCATACAAGAATTCTTCCCTGAGTATTTAGTCACTTTTTTGTATATGTGCCTCCTGGGAAGGGAACAGAGGACTTTATTATAGTTAAGGGTGGCAAAAGGGAATAACAGTAAGTCTTTGTCATTCCCCCCCCCCATTCATTTATCTCTCATCCAAAAAGCATTTACTAGGTACTTGCTGAGTACAGGAGAGCATTCATGTGCATGTTTCCACATGCTGTGGAGTTACAACCAACTGCATCCCTTCTCCATAGGGCCTGCCATGTTTCAGTCACTATGTTTCAGGGAAATCAGCCCCGTCTGGGGCTGGCCTTGATTCTACTCTTGTTTTCTCAACAGCCATCCTAACCCCACCAAAGATCAAGGTCACCAAGGATGGCTTTCACCTGGTTATTGAGCTGGAAGACCTGGGGCCTCAGTTTGAGTTTTATGTGGTCTACTGGAGGAACGAGCCTGGTGCCAAGGTAAGGTTTCCAGCCTTGGCCTTTAAGCCAGGCTTTTGTTTTTCTGAGGCTTTGTAGGATGGGGCAGACTCTGAGGGGTGAACAATTCAAGCTGGCCCCTACAGTGTTCACTATCTGGGATGGCCTGAGGATGAACAGAAGTGGGTGACTGCCTTCGTCCATCTCGGTCCTTGGCTGGGAGCCTTTTCAGGCCAGATTTGCTGAAGTGTGAGGCCACCTCCTTCCTCTAAGCTCTAACCTGGTTACACCACTTTTTCAACGTATTTCTTCTCCATTATCAACTGGTCTCCTCAGTCACTCTCCCTGGCATGTGTAGAGGCAGTAGGCCAGGTTGTTCCAGATCAACTGGAAGATTTCAAAAGCATGTGAAGTTGGCACAAGCCTCTTGAGGTGTGTATCTGGGCAGGGTACAAAATTGGCGGCGGGGAGTTGGAAGCTGACTTATGAATAAACTTGTCTAATTATAAGCAGGTGGATCCATGGAATGCTTAGATGGGATGCTATCCTCTCCTGTGGGAAGGCTACTGCAGGCTGGGGTGGGGTAGGAGGTCTACCCTCACAGAAGGGTGGAGCTTGAGTAGGAATAGGGGACAGTCAGATCTCTGGAGCGCCTGTCCAAGGTGAAAGGCCTACAGACCCACTCCGGTCAGCACAAGGACAAATGTTGGGTGCTGTCAAGGCAGTTCTGACTCATAGATACCCTGTGTACAATAGAACAGAATGCTTCCTTGTCCTGCACCATCCTCACAGTTGTTCCTATATTGAGCCCGTTGTTGAAGCCACTGGGTCAGTCTATCTCGTTGGCGGCCTTCCTCTTTTTCACTGACCTTCTACTTTATCTAGCATGATGTCCTTCTCCAAGGACTGGTCCCACCTGATAACATATCCAATGCTTCTAAGGAGCATTCTGGCTGTATTACTTCCAAAACAGATTTGTTCGTTCTTCTGGCAGTCCATGGTATATTCAATATTCTTCACCAACACTGTAATTCAAATGCATCAATTCTTCAATCTTCCTTATTCTTTGTTCAGTTTTCCCATACATGTGAGGCAATTAAAAGTACCATAGCTTGGGTCAAGTGTGCCTTATTTCTCAAGGTGACAAGTTTGCTTATTAAGACTTTAAAGATGTCTTTAGCAGCAGATTTGCAAAATGCAATATCACATTTGCTTTCTTGACTGCTACTTCCATGGGCATTGATTATGTATCCAAGTAAAATGAAATCCTTCACAACTTCAATCTTTTCTCCATTTATCATGGTATTGCTTATTGTTGTAGTTGTGAAGGTTATTGTTTCTTTTATGTTGATGCTGTAGTCTTTGATCTTTAGTATGTGCTTCAAATCTTTTTCACTTTCAGCAAGTAAGGTTGTGTCATCTCATATTATCATGGCTCATGGCTTAGTGGCCTCCAGTTGGGTCCATTTCAACTCAGGGGTACCCCTTACCTCACAGAAGTGTGTGGAGGCTGGTATGTGTTCCATCACTCATTCACCAGGGGCTGTAAGTGGAGACAAGTGGGGCAGGCACTGATGCTGACTGACACCTTCCCTGCTAGGTCAGTGGCAGAATATGCTTTGCCAGCTGGGCAGATGGAGTGGCATGGAGATAGGTCAAGGCCTGGGTATGAGAGTGCATGTAGCTCCCTTGGATTGATATTTTGGGTTGGAACCTAATCCCCACCCTTGGTAACTGGCACGACTTGTGCTGAGAAAGGAGTGTGTTCCCTGAGTCATCTGGGCCTGGCCCAGACAAGCATTCACAGGATCAGACATGGATCACAGACCTGGTGTGAGGTATAGGTGGAGGGGTGGATGGATGGACAGATGGATGAGTTGGGGCACTGTGCCCACCAGCTTTGTTATTCCTGTGCACTTATCTCCCCTGATGACATGGCCATGCCAAGCCCTTGACTCAGTCAGAGTTTTGACCTTCAGATCTCTGCCCAAATGTTACTCTGAAGAGGCCTTCTCTAGCTGCCTTGTTTAAAATAATGCCCCCTATCTCTCTATATCCCCTTGCCTTGCTTCATTTTCTTCATAGTATTTATAACCACCTGACTTATGTTTATATATTGTCTGTCTCCCCCAATGTGAGCTCTATGGGGGCAGGGACTTTGTCCATTTTGTTCACTGCTGTGTCTCAGTGCCTAGAACAGTGGGTGGCTCATAGTAGGTGCTTAATAAATATAAATGAGTCAATGAATGAGAAGGAATATTCCCAGATATATCCTGGATAGGACAAATCTGTAGCTTTCCCACCCTGGTGATTTTCACTGTTTTCCTGTTTCATTTCCCTCAGCATGTCATTGTGTTTTCTGGCTTCCTAAAGGAACATGTCCAAGTAGTGAAGAGTGGAGGCATTCCAGTGCACCTGGAAACCATGGAGCCAGGGGCCAGGTACTGCATGAAGGCCCAGACATTCGTGAAGGCCATCGAGAGGCACAGTGCCTTCAGCCAGGCAGAGTGTATTGAGGTACAAGGTAAGGATAGGCAGATTCCCTTGAACCTTGCATAGTTGGCAGCCCCTCGTGGTGGGAACTTGGATGTTTGCTGGGCTCCTTTGGTTCTGGGTCTTCCCTTGGTCTCACTGACCTGTGCCCAGGCTGGGTGGGTTCCCATGGTGAGGGGAAAATGTGACTCACCCTAATTCCTGCTGAGACAGGAGTGTACCCCAGGGGTGCATGGCACACTTCCACCAAAAGTTTTCTAGGTCTGGGGCCAGATATATGTAACCCAAGTCTGTTTACCGGATAGTCACTGCCTGTGAACAATGTAGGTTGCAGGGGAGCAGTCCAGGGCTTCTAAGATTCAGACTTGGTAAGGGGGCAACCCATTTTATGTCACAGCTTCTTTTGTCTACAAGGGACCTTATGGGAAGTCTATCGAATTCTCTTGTTTGACTTAATCCTTGAATTCTTTATGGTCTACAATATTTGAAAACCTTTTTAAAAGAAACAAAATAAAACAGCCACACCCCATGATCCTACCACATAAACACCATTAGTTACATGTTTGTGTATGATCTTTTAGTCATTAAATATTCTAATTATTATATTGAATATGTAGTATGTTCATATGGTTCCAAAAAAAAAAAAAAAGTATAAGATACACATCAAAAACTCTCCTTTTCATTGTTCTTTTTCATGCATATATGGGTTTTAGAGCCAGCTCTACCTATGTGATCTTGGGTAAGTCACTTAAACATTATGCACATTGATTTCCTCCTCTATGAGCAGGGACATTCCTACCTGTTATGAAGAACAGAAGAACACACATCTAGCTTGTGGCACAGTGCCCATAGGAATTAGTAGCTTTAGTTCACAGTAGTAGGCGCTTGATACACAGCAATCATTGAGTGACTGTTTTCTGAACTTAGTATTTTCCTCCATAATAGGGATCAATGCCAGGAGCAAATTGTGAAGTATGCTCTGTTTTCAGTTATTGCCCTTCTGTGCTGTTCTATTTCAGCACCTCTCCCGCATCCTGCCTGGAGGTTGGCGTTGTGCCATCCTCCTGGTAGCAGTGCCAAGGTATGTGCTAACATGGCTGGTTGCTTCATAAGTGGATGCTCCTCCCTTTTCCCTTCCCAAGAAAAGAATTTGAATATTTCCTGGGGCTTTCTGGAAACCAAGCCTTAATCTAGATTTTAGAAAAATAGTTTTAATGGTGGTAATTTTAATCACTAGGTCACAGATGAAGTCTCAGAATGTTAGCACCTGCCATCTTGGCCAATGTACAAAGCCAACTGTAGGAAACTGAGGCGGCCCAGGATTGATGATTCTGTCTTCACTGTTATCTCCTAAGCATTTCTTCTCGTTTCCAGGAGATGCCCTCTCCCTGACGCTGGCCCTGTTTGCATTTGTTGGCTTCATGCTGCTCCTTGTTACTGTGCTGCTCTCCATCTGGAAAATGGGCCAGTTGCTCCGGTACTCCTGCTGCCCCGTGGTGGTCCTCCCCGACACCTTGGTAGTAGTGTTCTTTTACCTTTTTAGCATGACAGTGGCCAGAAATTTGTACCTTAGTTGGGCATGGCACATGTTTTGTGGATTTGCAGATATTTGTAGAAAGGAGAAGAGCATGTATAGGACTTTATTTCTAACCAGAAAGGCTGGGGGAAACCTGTATTCTCCAGGGAGTGGTAACTTCCCTGGGCCTTCAGGCAGGCCACTTCTGCTTGTCCCCAGGACCCAGCATGGGCAAGAGAATAGGTGTGCTTCATAGCCAGGGATGCCTGTAATCTCGAGTCATGTGCAGTCTTACCCTTCTGGATTGGCCTGCCAAACCTTTGTGGCGCCTTCCCACAACTGTAACAACAGCTATATGCAATAGCATATTCCAAAACAGAATATTCAATTCACAAGCCAGTGGACTCATTGGTTCTCAGAGTGAGGAGGGTGTGCGTGTGTGTGTGTGTGTGTGTGTGTGTGTGTGTGTGTGTGAATATGGGAGGCATGGACTGTGGTTTGCCCTGTGAAGTGGAGAGACCAATGTGGATCTGCACAGTGACTATCCCAGGTAGACTACAGGTCCCTACCTGTTTTCCCAGCTCTTCTTAACCATAGGTTTCTTATCTTATTCCTGATGACATTGGACCACAGTTCTGACTCTTTACCCTTACTTATTTTTTGTATTGTTTTTATGTGCCATCGAGTCGGCCCCGATTCATAGCGACCCCTCCTTGGGTTGCCAAGGCAGTATTACTATGGAAGTAGATTGCCCAGTCTTCCTTCCAAGGAGTGTCTCGTGGGTTTGAACTGCCAGCCTTCTGGTTAACAGTCAAATGCCTTATGCACTATGCTACCAGAGCTCCTATTTTTTATATAGTTGTTCTATTAATTATTGAGAATGGATTGTTTAATTCTCCTTTTATTTGTATCAATTTTTTCCTTCTTGTATTTTGAAGCTTAGATATTTAGGAACATACACATTTATGAGCACTATGTCTTCCTGAGTATTTGAGTGTTTTATCATTATGAAACATCCTTCTTTATTTCTCCTGATATCAATATTGTTTACTATTTGTATGGTAGATCGTTTTCCAGCTTTTAAGTTTACCCTATCTGTCGGTATCTTTATATGTGAAATATGCCTTCTATAAACATTGTAGAGTTGGCTTTTGCTATTTTTGTTGATTTTTCAGAGATTCTCAAAATTTCTGACTTTTAATTGACGTATTTAGTCTATTAACATTTAATATAATGATTGATTTGGATTTAAGTTAATCGTTTTACTGCTTATTTTCTATTTCTTCAATCTGTTCCCCGCCCCATTCTTCCTTTTGTGTCTCTTTTTGGGTTAATTAAAAAAATTTTTTTGAACTTCACTTATCTATTGACCTTTTATTTATTCTAATAAACTTTTTATTTATTTTATTGACCTTTTACTTATACTTCTTCACATTTGTTTTTCATGGTTATTCTAGGAATTACAATATACATGTCCTTAACTTTACAGTCTACTGAGAGTGAATATGGTATCTCTTCACATGAAATGTAAGACTCTTGCAATAATTTTTGCTTTAAATGGTAAAATGTATTTTAAGGTATTTAAAATAGACTTACATATTTACTTACTTATTTACAATTTCAAATGCTCTTCCATCTTTCCTGAGATGTACATTTCCATTTGGTATGGCTTCCCTTCCATCTAAAAAACTTCTTGTAGTAGGTCTGGTAATGCAGGTCTGCTGGTGATAAATTTGCTTAGAGTTTTTTAATCTAAAATGTCTTTATTTACCTTCATTCTTGAAGGATATTTTTGATATAGACTTTTGAGTTGACAATTTTTTTTCTTTCAATACTTAAAAAATGTTGTTTAACTGTCTTCTGGTTTCCGCAGGTTTTGAAGAGAAGATAACTGTAATTTCTAACATATTTCCCCTATGTGAAATGTTTCCTTTGTCTCTTGCTGCTTGCAAATTACCTTTTTTCCCCCAGCAATTTGACTGCAATGTGCCGAGCTGTGGTTCTCTTTATATTTATTCTGCTGTAGCTCATTGAGCTTCTTGAATCTATGAATCTATGTTTTCATCAAAATTTGGGAAAATATCAGCCATTATTTAATCAGATAGCTTTTCTATCCCATTCTCTTCTCACCTTCTATGACTCCAATTTCATGTATAATTAGACCTTTAATATTGTCCTCACAGATCCTTGGGGCTCTATTCATTGTTTTAAAAGCTTTTTTCTTGCTACTTTTCAGATTGGGTAATATCTACTAACCTCTACTCTCATTCACTGACTTTTCTATTATCACCAATCTGCTTTCAGGTTATCTAGTAAGTTTTATTTTTAAATTTCAGATATTGTATTTTACATTTTTACAGTTTCCATCTGGTTCTTTTTTACAGTTAATATTCTGCTGAAATTTTCTGTTTGCTTATTCATTATAAGAATATTTCCATGTATGTCCTTGAGCATAATTAAATACTTTTGCTTGTTATTTGAAAATCTTTGTAAATTTCACCCTGTCTGTCACCTCAAGGTTGGTGTCCATTGATTGCTTTTTATTTTGGTATGGACCATATTTCCCTGTTTCTTTTTATGTTTGGTAATTTTGTATTATATTCTGGATATTTTGAACAGTACAGTAGTGGAGGTCTTGAATTATGTTACATTTCTCTAAAGAGTATTGATATTTTGTTTGTTTGTTTGCTTGCTAGTTTATTTTAGTAGGCAATAAATTTGGATGAATACAAATTCCAAACTTTGATATTTCATGTAGTAGTAGTCAGTTGATATCTGTTAGTTCTTTTGACCTTAGGCGAACTGCTTGGAGTTTGCCTCATACTTGCATTGTTCAGAGGTCACACAGCAATCTGGGCAGAATTTATGTGCAGAATTTGCAGCTTCTCCTTTCTTGTTCTCTTCTCTCACTTTTGAACTTCTGTGTTTGCACCAAACTCTGTCCTTTGGTTCTTCAATCCAATAAGACTTCTTCTTCTTCTTCTTCCTTTTTTTTTTTAAATTTCTAATTGTGATTTAGGTGAAAGTTTACAGAACAAATTCATTTTCCATACAGCAGTTCATACACATTTTGTTTCATGACATTGATCCCCATACTAAAATCCCCATAATGTAACAACTCTCTTCCCATTTTCTCCCTGTGGTTTCCTTTTCCCTGTTCTTTCTTTCCTATGCATTCCTGCTCTCTTAGCTATCTCCCTGATCTCCCATGAATGATTATTCTAAGGAGTGTACCTACCTGGTGTAAATGTTCACCTTAGATTCCTATTAGGAGCTCTGGTAGCATAGTCCCTGAGGCATTTGACTGCTAACCAGAAGGCTGGCGGTTCAAACCCACCAGCCACTCCTTGAAAGGAAGGTTGGGCAGTCTACTTCTGTAGAGATACTGCCTCGGAAACCCAAGGAGGGGTCGCTATGAGTCAGATCCAACTTGACAGCAGTGAATGAGTAGATGCCTATTATTTGGCTGGAAGCCACAGAAGTGAGTTCAATTCCAGGCCTGAGGGTGACTAGGGACCATAGTCTCAGGGGTTTCACCTGTCTCTACCAGATTGGTAAGCCTGATCTTTTTTATGCTTTTGAGGTTTGTTCCATATTTTTCTCCCACTCTATTCAGGATCTCCTGCACGGATCTCTTTCTGAGTGTTTGACAATGGTAACTGGGTACCATCTTGTTCTTCTAGTCTCATGGTCCACTAGTGCCTTATACTAATTGTTTTCATGCACCTTTGGTTTTCTTCATTCTTCTTTGTTCCAGACAAGGAGAGACCAGTTGTTTCATCTTAGATGGCCATTTTCAAGCTTTTAAGATCCCAGTCACTACTCATCAAAGTAGGATGCAGAACAATGTTTTTGTGTAGTATGTCGTGCCAGTTAAGCTTGATGTCCCCGCGACCATGGTCCTGAGCCCATAGGTCCAACAACTTGCTCCCTTAGGATGGTTGTCTGTGGCTAAGAAGTTATCATAACTGCTGCCTATTAGTTCTATTTATATGGACATTATTATTATTATTATTATTATTTTAATTTTTATTGTGATTTGGGTGAAAATTTACAGAGCAATTTCACTTTCCATACAGCAGCTCACATACACTTT